TGTCCTCTTTAGTCATGAAAAAAATTATCTGGTAGATCATTACTTTCCCGCAAAATTACTCCCTTAAATTTTAAATGCCGGACGTCAACTGGTTATTTTGAAATGTGCAACAACAACAACAACAACTTTATTTAAAGAGGGAAGCGCAATAACCTATTACAGTTTTCTAACCTACGGCCCTCAAAAAAATAAATAAATAGATAAATAAATTTAGAAGACTAAAAACAAATAAATTTATAAATATATATATATACACAAAAGAGACAATATTCAAAGTAGAATAGGCTATAAACACCTAATGAATAATATATAAATCGACGAAGGGGGGCAAAATATGTACTATAAATGAACATGTATACATATATACATAAATATAAATTAAAAGACGTAATAGTGGTTGTAGTAGGACTATGAAAAACAGTGACAATGAATAGAATAACGGCAAGTCGAGCACAGTAGATCCTCCAAGTGCTCGGCCGATGATAGGCGTCAGAAAAACAGACTTCGTAATTTAGACTTAAGAGAGGAGGGAAGAAATTTAAATATCGGTGGAGAAGAAAAAATAAAATAGAAAACTCTTTTAAGTCGGAACTGAGGTCTTTAAAAAGTTTAGTAGCAGTATAGGCCAAGGTGCTTTTAACTCGTTAATGCAATCTTGTCACAGCAACAAAAAACCTAATTCGGAAATAGTCACGTGACTGATGACGTCATTACCTTAGATGTGACATGGGAAGATATTTTATGGCAAATGTTATCTTGTTGTGTTCTGACAGTCTTCTACGTATAAAAGTTGTGAAAGTTATAAAGCTTTTTAAAAATTGCCTCAAAGGATTCTGGGAGATTTTTTTAATAATTATTTTACCTGGACATACCCATACCTTGTGACAATAACAATACAGTACTAAAGTCATTTTGAGTTAATCAACTAAATTCATTAGAAGTAAGACTATTGAACTTAGCTGAAGTTCTGTTGAAAAATTATAACCATCAACAGCATCTAACTCTAAGTTGTCTGAATTTAAAAGTGGTTAACTTGAACTACTTACAGCAATAAATCCATTTGTTTTTCATTCACTTGGTTATTTAAACTCAGTTGTTCACAGCCATCTATTTTTCTTTTCTTCTTTTCCACGCCTCTGAAAGGGTAATGCAGATTTATTTGACAAGGTAGAAAGTTTTAAGAGAGAAATACAGAGGGACTGATCTATGCATGTGTAGAAAAAAGAGAATTTTCGCTTTCTTCAACAAAACTTTGAATTCATAAACCTTGCTAAAAGCCCATCAGGAAGGCCATAAAATTATATTTGTGCATCTGAGGATGTGAAGCATTTTTTTGTCACCTATAACAGCAGCAGGACTTTTTTTCTTGGAATTTCTTTAAAGTTGAACAAAAGACAATTACAAGTCCAATTTTTAAATCAAACTTTCACCCCTTACAAAAACTTTACGTTACTAATAGCACATGTTTACATGTACCTTACCCCACTATCTTCAGCCTGTTCGAGGCGTTCACATAGTAGACATTGGCAAGAAATGGAGAGGGGAGGGGGAAAGGCCAAAGAAAGGAAGAGGGACCTCTCTACCCCCACCCCCTCGTTATCTTTTTTCCCAATCACTTTTCTTTGAGAACGCCTGGAATAGGCTACACTATCTTAATACACTTCTTTAAAAAGTCAAACTTGAATTGAACTAAAAACCAAACAAACATGAAATCTTTACAAGCATGATTTAAAAAGTACAGTAACTTAACTATTGCCCATGATCCTTTGATTTGAGTACTGTGCCTTGCCCTTTGTTGTTCTTTTTCACCACCAACTGTTCTAGTTAGAATGTCATCAAAGTCTCTCACAGCTAACTGGCATGCAAACAACTTTTTACCTGCAATCTGTAAAAATAGTGACTTATTTTAAAGTGATACAATATTCATTTAAAATATAGGCTCTTGGTTATCAGATTAATGATGGCAGGTGTGCAAAATTTCTTCACCTTGAAGAAATTCCTTAAGCTTAGGTAGCACAGGATTCCTTTGTTCTTCTCTTGCCTGTTCAGTCAAAATACTTTTCTGTTAATAACCGCCGAAGATAACTAGAAAACATGATTTTTGTTGAGCACACTTAGACAAACTAAAAATATTCATTAAATCACTTTATCAACAGGCTTTCAATCAATAAATTCCTTAGCATTTGGGGCAAAGCGAACTCTTTTTTGTCAACACTTTAGAAATGAAATTCACACTTTCCTATTAAGATTCACTCATTGTTCTAAAGCATGTATTATTTGTAACCTCAAGTTCAAATAATGATTTTGGAGTTGACTGTTAATTTGGGCCTGAACGTTTCTGGCCTACTTTTATCTGGAAAAAATGTCATTTCACAGTCAAGGTTTGTGATTGTGTTACAGCCATTTTGCACGATGGCAGGGGTTTGAGGAACTATTCAAGATCATCCAAGTACCTTTTTTTATTAAGGATTATTTTTGATGCGAAACAATTCACCAAATTTATACAGTGGAACCTTGATTTAATGGACCCCGCAATCTAATCGAAGAAAACCGAACCAAAATTCAATTGAACCCAATCAAACACCAATCGTTCGATTGGGTTTGGTAATTGAACCTAGTCAAACATCAATTTTGCTCTGAGTTCGATTTATCGAACCAATCAAACAAAATCAAATGCAATCAAATTCAATCCGATTCAATTTTGTTCGGAATCCATTTCTTGATAAGTAAATCACTCAGGAGTATAATCATAATCAACCATTATTGAATGGGATTAATAGAAAAACGCCCAAATATCAAACTGAATGTCGAAGTTTGGTTATACTTATGAGAAAAAACGACAGTTATAAATACTGAAATGGATTATTGTTTACATTTTTATGGTAGGAAGAAAATGGCTTCTGCTGTGAACGTCGCCGTAATACTCAAACAGAAGTTGCACCATTTCATTAACTGCAACACAAGCATGGTGTTCAACATGTGAATAATAATTATGAGCAACCAAAACGCTGTCGTCGTAATTCTTTCCAAGCCCTGAAGGGCAGCCAAGAGTGACGTTGACAGGAGGGGAGCAACTTCCAGCATGACAGCAATTGGCCATTTCGGAGTTGTGTAGGGGACTGGGGCGAGTTTCAAATTTAAGCTAATCGATAAACTAACACCACCATAATTATAAAAGGTCATGTTGAGATTGGGTATTTGACCAAGTTTGATGCTCTAAGGTTGAAAAGGGATCAAGTTAAGACTCTTGAAACACGGTTAAAGATCCATACAAACGTCTGTAATTTTGTGACAGCGTCCTCCAAAACTATATAAACTCTTTAAAAATTTCAGTTTTTCTTTTTAACTGTAAAATTCGTCATGCATCTACTACTTGGAAGAAACTAATTGGAAAATCACTGTGTTTGCCAGTTTTTAGGAATCTCACAGAAATCGTGAAAAAATTAAGAGTCTTTAAACTCGTAATTTAAAAATGGTTTTGGGGACGCTGTTACAAAATTACAGCCGTTTGTATGGATCTTTAACCATGTTTCAGGAGTCATACCTTGATCCCTGTTCAACCTTAGAGAACCAAACTTGGTCAAATAACCACAATCTCAACATGACCTATTATATGGCGGTGTCAGTGTCACAGAACAATATCAAACAAGTCTATCTTTGGCTTTTGCAAAGTAATCTGTTCACCATTGAAAAACTCCCAACTAATAGACTGTATTCCAATAAGTGAGTAATAATAACAATAGGCCATTTGCACTGAGAGGTCATGTGACATCGTTTTTATGAAAATGAAAGTTATATGATTTTGCCTTAGAAAAACGATAAGTGGGCTCAGGCGGCTGCGAGTCATCGAGTCACCGCCTACTTGACCATGTTTGTCAGGAAATACTTCAAAAATATAACTCTTAAAATGTTTACAGCCTACCCATTTTTCAGTTGAAATAAATCTGATAAAATATAGCGCACTCTTGCCTTGAGAATTTTGGAATAAAGCATATATCAACACGATTTCTGTACCGCGACGGATCGCAACCGCTTGAGGAACGCTCAGCCATTTTCAGCGGTATCATAATGAAATTTAGCCTCGCTCCCAAACTATTACCACGTGGTTGGTTGAACAAAGATGGCGGCCAAGCGTAGCCTCGGACAAAGTGAATTGTTTTCATTCTTTACAAAGAAACCACGAACCGGAACAGGTATTTTGAATAAATTTTGACTTTGCAATTGTTTTCTCATAAACCCATTGCGTTGTTCTTCGCTTAGTTAAGAATATTACTTGCAGAAAACAATGCGACACATTGCAATGATTCAGAAGACAACCCAACTGAAAGTATACCTGAAGTCACAGATCATGCCTCGTCATCTCAGCAATCTTCCGAAACTCCTGAGCCAGACAGAGGGCCTTTAGCCGAAGAAATGAAATACTTTGTTCACTCATCGTTTGGAAATTCAGTTGACAAACCTGTACACTGTCACAGTTTTTACACTTGTCAAGGGAGCAGATGCAGTTCTGTCACTCAAACTGAAATGAATCGATTACGAGCAAACAAGACAAAAAGATCGCTTCCAGCATCAATGGATCCTTGACAAAAAACTCTCTTTCTGCGAAAGGACTGGTTTGAACTGGCTAGTTTATGTAGAAGGTAGGGGAATGTTTTGCCTTTTGTGTAGAAAACATGATGCAACGAATCTTCAAAACAAGAGCAAAAAGTTTAACACTGAACATGCTGTCCGCTTTAAACGCAAGTCCGTTGAATAACAGTGCAGAACTTTTAAGTCGTGTTTCTGTCTTCCAGAGAGAGTTTGAAGAAAGAGAAAAATCAAAGGAAGATGTATATTTCAATGCATTCTTGGCTCTTTACTAGATAGCGAAAGAAGAAATCGCGAACACAAAGTTCACCAGTCTTTTGGAAGTTGTAAAGAAAATGGGATTATCAAATATGAAATTCTTTGAGCATCGCTCAGGAGAATCAGTGAGAGAAATGTTTATTTTGATGGGGGAGATGGTAAAATCTCAGGTTGTGAAGAAGGCACAGCAAGCCAGCTTCATGGGTCTCTTGATCGATGATGTAATGGATTTTGCCCAGAGAGAGCAGCTTGTGTCATTCATCAGATATGTTGACCAAGATACCTATGAAGTGAAAACAGATTTCCTTGCTGTGAATGACATTTTAGAGAGCTCAACTTCTGCCAATGCTGAAACCATCAAGTCAGTTGTTGTGAAACAGCTGTCACATTGCGACCTAGATATCAATAAATTATCAGGTTTGTCAACTGATGGCGCATCTGTAATGGTGGGCAAGGAAAATGGTGTTGCTGCTAAGCTTAAGAGAGAAGCTAAGATGTTATTGAATGTTCATTGCATCTGCCATAGATTGGCCCTTGCATGTGGAGATGCAAATGACCACATTTCATATATCAAGACTGTTGAAAAGGTTTTGATTCGACTATGGTCTTTCTTCCACAACTCGGGAAAGCGCACAGCAGCATACACCAAAGCAGTTATTGCTTCAACAGAGTTACAGATTTCACATCATGCAAAGAAAAGGGTTGTAAAGCGCGTTAACAAGGCTACCCGAACAAGATGGCTGTCTACAGAAAGCACTGTTGATGGTATTTTTCTTAACTTTGTGCCTTTGATCCAAACTTTGCAAATCTACAGCAATGATAGTGATCCTGTTGCAATAAACTTGATCACTGACATCAAGTCGAAGAAATTCGTTGGAGCGGTGTATTTACTTCATGAAGTCCTGCCAATTCTGAGCCATCTCAGCCGAGCCTTTCAGAAAGGAAACATATCCTTTGCTGTCATAGCACCTGCTGTAGAATTTATTTTAGAGGAAGTGAAAAGCGTGGCCGAAAAACAATCACCCCTGGAATGTTTAAGAAGAGATCTTGCTGAAGACGGCAGACTGCACTACAGTGGATTGACTCCTCTAACAGCACATGATGAGACGTCTCTCAGAAACCTGACTTCAAAGTATGTCCATGCTCTGCAAGACAATATTGCTTCCCGTTTCAAGGATAGCCTTCCCATCCTGAGTGCTTTCAAAATCTTTGATCCAGTTGCAGTGCCACCCAAGTCTGATCAGAGCTTTAGTGAGTATGGAGACAAAGAGATCAAGATCCTTGCAGAATATCTGTATCAGCTGGAGACTGGAGAATCAAAGGTCCAGAAGACAGAGGAATTGATTTGTGAGTGGCGGAAGTTCAAGTACAGCATCTTAAAACTCAAGAGTGAAATGCCAGCAGATGTCGTTAAGCCACCAAAGAACAAGGAACTGACATCCCAAACACCTACAGATTGGGTTTTACATCACATGCTTTCCAATCAATCGACTTACAGTCATTTTGTGCCAGAGCTCCTTTGTCTTGCTGAAGTGTGCATGTCTCTGCCCGTAAGCAACGCCTGGCCGGAGCGTGAGGCATCAGCAGTCAAACGACTGAAAACAAGACTGAGAAGCTCTCTGAAAGGTGATATGTTGGAATCACTAATGCACATTACAATCAATGGGCCAGAAGTACAGGAGTGTGAAAGCCTGGTCAAGAACGCAGTGAAAAAGTGGCATGAAGTGAAAGTTCGTAGAAAAATTGCTAAATCAATCCCTGCAAGTGCCACTTCCAGTAACTGCCCAACAGTTTCTAATGCTGCTGTCCAAGTTGATATGCTGCCACCACTGGCACTAGATGTTCCAGAACAAGTGAATGCCATGGGAGATGGGATTGGAGTTGAAGATTTGGAGAAAGAAGTTAATTCAGTAATCAGCGCTCTTAAACTTCCCGATATCTCGGATATGGATGACTGTCACTCTGACTATGACTCAGACTTTGAGTCAGATTCAGACTGAACAGTTGCAGGTGTCATTTAATTTTCAAAACGGTCAACAAAGCTAGAATTAGAACTGTCAGAAACAGTACTGAAATTGTCAAAGTATAAATTACTACTGAACTAGTGGCCAGTGTAATCATCAAAATTATTTAAGGAGGGAAGAAGTTTGTCAAGATTTTGATGAAGAAATAAGCTATACTTTCAGTTGAATAACAGCATCTTCTCATAGCTTTACGACCACACTGGCCATATATCATGATCTTTGGTGTAAATTTAAGAGTGGGGTTGCAGCTTGGGGCTTGGTAAGTCACATGGCAAGCACTCCTGCCAAACTCAATTACCTTACATGTTCACAAAAGCTCTTGAAAAACACACAGAAATCTGCCAATTAAAGGGTTAATGGCATGCATCATTAACTTTACTTTCTCATGCCAGGAATGCTGTAAATCGCATTTCCGAGCTTCTAAATTTCAAAATTTTCTGGGGGAGCATGCCCCCAGACCCCCCTAGAAAAGGTGGCCGAAGGCCACCTAAATAGTCACAGCCGCCTACTATTATATGGGCAGACGCCTACTTCAAATCTTATTGAAAGCCCTGAGTGGGTCATATCTTAAACAAAATAATGGTGATTTGGTTTTTCAAACCCGCACCATTTTCTTAAAATGAATAAGTTCGTAAATGGTCACGTGACCAAAATTTGATTTTTAAAACTAAGAATTACCCCGCTCTGAACACAGATTTTGCACTTAAACTTCAAGGAAAATGTTGAAAAGATAATGTGCTAACGTTTACAGCACAAAAACATGGCGGTCGAAGACGGGACTGTTTCTCACTATTATATTTTGGTAATTCGCAAATTTATTGATTTCATGTCGCTTTTCAGAAATAATGTGTGGTTTTCTTTTTCTGTTAAACAATTTCCCTCTGCAGAGTTTGGAATATGCAACATATAACTCCGTACAGCTGATAAGAACCGCCGAAGAGTTGAGCTATATCGAGCAGTGTTTTGCTGCAAACCTTAGGAAAGTTAAAGTCGCTTCAAGGTACAGAGCTTTCAGTAGTAGTTGTGATTTGTTTATTAGGATCGTTTTGATTTTAACTTTGGATTCAAGGTGTTGACTGATCGTAATAAATGAAGTGAGATGTTATGAAGTGTGTCGTTTATTTAGTTATGATTGTAGAGCTGTAAGCTCATTAAAGCTCCCTTAATATACTTGCTTCCGATGAATTTGACACTTTCTCCAGTAATTTTTATCAGCATCAAGTCATCCTTACCCGGCAAAAACGATGTAACCGCGGAGCGCATTGTTGTTGGTTAAGATCTAACACGGTTTCCCCCGCAATTTCAGTACCGAAAGACAAATATGATATGCAAGAAAAACAAAGATGCATGATATTATTTTTTTCAATTTTTCAAGCATGTCTGCTTTCCTCTGCCGGTTCGCTTCTTGTTTCTACAAAGTCTAAAAATATTTACTGTGGGAAAAATACTGCAATTATCGGCTGACCACCAAGCGCGGTGACCACTTTGCAAGTTGTGAGAACATCGTTTCTCAGTCCCAGACCTCGTCTCTTCACACCCCCTTCCCCTCCGGTTGTATTTTTCTCAATAAAAATGGTTTTCTTTGAACAAAGCATGCAAGCCGTCTCTCTCACATCTCTCCCCAGTCTCGTATTCTATTCATTCACAATGTTTACTAACCTAAAATACAATATATTAATGTTTTTGCCCCCGTCTCTCTCTTCTGCTGTTTCAGCATAGAGATTTGGACTGTTGCCGGTCATGTTGACCGGCCAAACAAATTTTACAATGTTCATGGCTCATTTGTGACCAGTCAAAACAATGGGTATTGTGAAGAACATGCAACTATCCTAAACTGACAGACGACCAATCGACAGTTAACTGACACATTACTGACATACCAGTGACACTTTGTATTGAAGGTAAGACCATATTGTTTGGTATGCTAAAAAACTCTTTGCATTGCAAAATGGGGACAAGTATTGAAAGAAACATTTAAGAGTTTTTGAATCCAGGTACACAGCTGGGGCCCAGAACAAGGAGTTTAGCGCTGTTTCACAGACGGACTTAACCAGAGTTTAGTTTCATCTGTGACGCAGGGAACAACCACTACACATGTAAGTCACTAAACTGTGCACAAAAGGTTTATAGGGCAAGGACCTGGTTCCTTGAAAGATGGTTAAGTTTAACCCAGGATTAAGCAAAATTTTAATCCAAGTTTTCTTGTCTAAGAAAATGCAACTCCAGCTTACAAAATACTGTTGAGCCTTCACTTCAAGATGTGGTAATGACAAGACAAAATGTTACTCTAAGCAATACATAGGAAGGTTAATACAAAAACGGAACAAAATTTTAATCCTGGATTAGCACTAATCGACCTTTCAGGAACCGAGCCCAGGATTTCATTGGTTGTTCCAACCCAGACTTTGCCAACATCAGAAAACGTTTACTATTATTTTACCACTAATATTAATCATAAAAAAGTTGACTAGTTTTTCTAGTTACCGTAACTGCTGGTTGATGCTTTCGAAACAGTAGAAGCATTCAAAAAATCGAAACCCTTTCTACACATTAATTTTTAGCTACCTTTACATTTAGATTTTTCACTCTTCTGGATGACCGGATGGGACTTTTTTCAAGCCCTGCTCCTACTCCTTAAAAACAACCCACTTTCACACCAAGAGGAAAACAATGACTTTCGCGGATACCTCTGACTGTTTTAACAATAAATTCTTCTCTACACACACAACACACAATACCTTGGCTTGATGGACTATGTCTTTATCACCAAAGTCACCATGACCTGTAAGTATAATTATTACATAATCAGCACATTTCTCATAATTAACATATACTGTAGCTAACCTTACAATGACATTGACAATAATAATCCAAGGGCTCAGCATAGTACTCAAATTTTGTTCTTAAAAAATTTAAAAGTGCTAGATGCTTTCAACCTCCTCAAAAATCCTTCCATTAAATATGTTATACGTTGAAACAGTTTCCTCAATAATGTTCGACATCTCATGTCTAACTGTTCCCACTAACATGTTAGTAATCTTTTCATTAAAGCTAATGAAAAGCATAATCACGAGACCAGGTTCTCCTCCTCCTGCAATTTTATATTAACTTATCGAGACTGAATCAAAATCATGGTTCTTTTGCTAGGTTCGGAGCTAAGCTTTGGAACTCTATTTTCGATGAACTTCGTCACCTCCTTAAGAGAGCTTTCAAAAAAAGTATCAATGATATGCTATTTTCGTTATCAGACGCCGAGGACGATTATGTTCAATAGCCCATTCTGCTTCAGAAAATAGCTAAGTATGGAGCAAATACAGAGTTTAATTTATAAAGTACCTAGATACATATCTTAATTTAGTGTCGCAGTTAATTTTACGAGTTTCAAGTAGTTGATTTTGTAAATGCTATTAATTTATGTTTAAGCTTTATTTCACTTATTTATATATATATATCTATCTATTTATTTATTTATTTTTTATTTATTCATCTATTTATTTGTAATTTATTACTGAATGAATGCTGTACCTATTATCTCCGCCTGCCTCAACTAGTACCTGCTTTTTGCGGGCGGGAATGGACTTTATGTAAATGTAGATTGTTAATAATAATAATAAAGTGTGTAAAGTGTGTGAAGTGCATTGTGTAGTACAGTTTTCACCTATGATGAACTTACTGCATACAATGTAAATCAATTTTTTTTCAATTTACATCAAAGACGAGGTCACTGGTTCATGCATCTGGCCATGCATCTCTCTTGGCAGGAACAAAATCACTAGTGAGTAATGCAAATGGCACCTATGATTTTCATCATGGTATTAGAAACATGAAAAATGATGCAATTTGTTTTGTGTTAAATTCCCCACCTCAGTAAGAACTAAGTGCATTGTGTAGTACAGTTTTCACCTATGATGAACTTACTGCATACAATGTAAATCAATTTTTTTTCAATTTACATCAAAGACGAGGTCACTGGTTCATGCATCTGGCCATGCATCTCTCTTGGCAGGAACAAAATCACTAGTGAGTAATGCAAATGGCACCTATGATTTTCATCATGGTATTAGAAACATGAAAAATGATGCAATTTGTTTTGTGTTAAATTCCCCACCTCAGTAAGAACTACAGTAAGTTGTCAAACCCCTGCATGACCCATTGATGTCCCCAGGGTTTGCCAGTGGGAGACACGTTGACGTTGATACATAGAGTAAACCTAGTGGTTATTTGTACGGGATCCATTCACTAACTTGTGCTTCCTAATCATACGGGATTCCTTCTACAGAAGTAAATTTGTAATTATATTTTATGAGTTAAGTTCATACAGCTGTACCATTTCCACTAGTAATGTACACTGTATTCTACCACCATTGAAATTTCTGCTCAACAAATTTTCATAAAAAAAGTCTGTTCAATTTCAAATGAAAAAAATTTTTAGAGTAACTGGAGTGGGATTCCAACTCAGAGTATCGGTCTGCAGTCTACACTGTACTACGTAAACCAATATACCACCACAGGGGGGTACTCAATAAATTTTTTATACGGGGAGACTCCACCCCGAGGTCCAACCCCTTACCCTTTTATATACCACTCTTCACAAAAAAGGTGCCCCTTTAGTATACCTTTTATTGAAAATCTAATGGTACCCCTTTCACATACCTTGTTTAGAACTAAATGCACTGTTATTTAAATAGGGATCAATCACAAAAATAGAACGTTTTCTCGACTTTATAAAACCATAAAAGTTATCTGTTAGCCCTTTGGGCCCTTTCACAGACCCAAATGACCGATACTTCAAGGAGTAAAATCCCTACCCTTTCATATACCTGAAGCCAGAAAAAGGTACCCCTTTCGGGCAGAGCCTCCCGTGTAGGCCATCATAGGGAGAACCCCCCCCCCTCCTAGTAGACCACTGAGGATTCAATGCTGACGTAAGTTTGATTTGAAGATACATAACAACAACCCTAAACCTTAATAGAAGC